TAAGACGATGCTGCTGGACTGACAGATCTTTTTATTTTGTACTGGTGTTACTGCACTTTGCAGCAATGTTGCCATGATGTTACAGGCTGCTATTATTTATCGTTACAAGCTGTTTATTATTCATTGTTACAAGATGTTATTTTTATTTATTTATTGATAACTGATTGCAACACACATATATGCCATATGGATAGTTCTTGTTTATTTTATACAGTCTTTGTTGTGTCATGCATGTAAATATGTATCAACTTATTTACAAGTAGGCAGGCTGCTACTAGATATTGTTGTACTTGTGTAACCCACTTGCACAATGGCAAATAAAATAAAGCAGAAATACATGTGTGTGTTGAATGATTACTGCAGATACTGAGGTGACTTCAGGCATTTGGCTAAACGGCTAAGCGAACACACTGACACATAAAATCATAGGTTTACACTAATATAATGATCATTTAAACATGATTTTCTTTTTTTGGGACTTTTTGTGCAGTACTTTATATATCTGGTTGAGTAATGTTTTACTTACCTTGTTAATTCTGTTTTCCAAATCAAAATTTTGTATATAATATAATATAATATAATATAATATAATGCCTACTGAGGCTGTTACCCATTGCCAGTTTGGTGTTTATATAAGGAGAACTTTGCTTTTGAAGAACAGGAAAAGGCAGTGCAAAAATGCAATAATATTTATGTGGATATGGGAGATAATATGTAACAATGTAACAGTACCATAATATGTGGATATGAAAGTTAATATGTAACAATGGCATAATATTTATGGGGATATGAGAGTTAATATGTAACAATGGCATAATATTTATGGGGATATGGGAGTTAATATGTAACAATGGCATAATATTTATGTGGATATGGGAGTTAATATGTAACAATATAACAATGACATAATATTTATGTCTTTGGTAGATGTTTTTGTTAACTGTCAGACACTGCTTGTTATATTTATGTGAATTAAACTGATCACTGGTTTGTTGTGAGAATCACCTACTTTTACCACCAGCTAACTGGCCTTCAGGGGGGGTCAAACAATATTTCTAGAGGGGTGTGGTGTGATCTGGGATGGGGTGATCACCATAAGAACATGATAGCCATAAATATTTTTTATTTATTTAGTAGGTGCTTGTACCCAAAACAACATACTTTCTTGAGAAAGCAGGGACAGCCCCTAGAGCAACTAGGGCTAAGGATCTTACTTAAGTGCCAACAATAAAATCACTCTGCTGATGCTGGGATTTGAACCTGGAACCTTCTGATCACAGACACACGCTCTTGGCTGAAACTGTAATATTTATGATGCTGAAATCATCCCTCAGAAGTTATAATTAAATGACAAACTGAAAGAAGCAGATGAAAATAAAACAACACTCTATGCAGAGGGATCTGCCCCAATTTCCCCTCCCAATTTATTAAGTGTCATTATTCCAGTTTCCCCCCAATTACCTTTTTATAAATTTTGTTGTTCCCTGAGGCACCAGTAAGGAGGCCAGTCCTTCATATCGTCCCATGTTAATGCGAGATAAAATAGGTTAGCTAAGTATTATTTATGAGAACATTTGGTACAAAAAACAATGGAAAATAATGCAGGAATTCCAGCATCTGCCAGTATATACGCAATATGCACTGGGAATAGCATGTGCATATCAGGGGAATAGCATGTGCATAGCAGGGGAATAGCATGTGCATATCAGGGGAATAGCATGTGCATAGCAGGGGAATAGCATGTGTATATCAGGGGAATAGCATGTGCATAGCAGGGGAATAGCATGTGCATATCAGGGGAATAGCATGTGCATAGCAGGGGAATAGCATGTGTATATCAGGGGAATAGCATGTGCATAGCAGGGGAATAGCATGTGCATATCAGGGGAATAGCATGTGCATAGCAGTTCCTGAGAAAAGTGTGTTTAGTTTGGGGTTATAATAAGCCAGCATCAGGTATCGTTTGCAGGTTTTTTTTTCTTTTTTATCTGCGGTGAGCTTCATTCGTCTTCGGGGCAGAATTACATGGTGACACTGGCGAAAAGAGCCCCTTTTTCTGGTAAAATGGAGTAAGGAGGGGTAAATTATAGAACCATCCATCCATCCATCCATCTTCCATAGGGTCATGCTGATTACACAACCAAAACAGAGAAAAACAATATAATCTTTTACGATGAATGAAAAGTTGCTGTTTTGGCAGCTACTAACATCACTCGGGTCTAAACTACCTGACTCAGCCTTCCAGCACTGTCGGCGGCCCAACCCCCCACCCCCCAAACACCCACACATTGTACTCTTACTGAATACGTTTTTGCCTCATGTACGCTACAGGGTAGATATGGCAACATCCTCTGAACTCAGCCTCTGATTTATAGGATTTTTCTGTATATGTAACGCTGGTTCGTTTTCCGTTTCTGTGTGGTTGTTTTTTTGTCTTTAGGAACACCAAGGTCACTCAAGGTTAATCCCATTAGCTTCCATCATTTCAAAGTGATAGTGATGATATTTAAATAAATTCCATAAGTAAATACAATCAAACACATTCACAAGGCTGCATGTCTTCTAAAGAGGCCTAACACTTCCTCTACAGACCTGGAATTGACAATGCCAGAATGCGATATTTCAGTGGTGAAAATTATAATCACAAGTGAAGTGTTCTTCTTAAAAATCATACAAATTATCTTTCTGCATTTTTAATCTGAACACCCCAAAATCGCTGCTGAATCAGGCTTTTTCTACTGTGCCTTGAATCCTTAACGCCATTGTGCTGCACTGCTGGTGAGTCAGTCTGCTTTGATCTGTAATGTCACTCTGTCATGACGTCAAAAATTCCGTCGGCCAGAGGCGACATGGTGGTTCATGTGTCATGTGGAAGAAGGCGGAGCCAATGGAGAGGTGAGTGGGGAAGAAATGCAGCCTAATTAATGCATATTAATATTGTGCCTGCAGATAATTATTATAAAAATGACCCTTCGAGACCTGATTTTATGGATTATCTCTTTTTAACAGTGATTTGAGTGATTTTACATACAAATGTAATATTCATCCAAATTATATTGGCATCCACATAAAAATTAGCCCATATACAATGTTTTGCTCATTGAGTATGTTGGGACATTGGCATTCTGTCCAGAGTGTACCCAGCCTCATGCCCTCTGACTCCTGCTCACTCTGCCCTTGAACCGGATAAGTACGTTTTGAATGGATGGATGTTCATGGCAGCCTCTATATGTGTGTGGCATCCTACAGGAGAATTCCCCCATGAAGGTTCCAGCATGTCACTGGCCCACGTTTTTGGCTTTTTATGTAATATATGCAGGCTCTCCACACGATGCCGTGACGGAACCTGCACCCAGCGTTCCTCAGATACGCATTTCCGCTTTGCTGCCCGTGTGTGTTCTGTGTGCCTGCAAGCCCGTGGGCCGCTGTAACAGGGCCATTTTCTGCGGCAGGGATCTCGACCCGCTACGCCTTTCTTCGAGTTAGGCCGTTATGCGCGAGCTTTGGGAATTCGGCACGGGAATCGGCTGCGACGGATTTGGCCACATTTCTGCGTGTCTATCGCATGCTGCCATGGTTTCACTACAGGGTTTACCGTCATGCATTTAATTCACAGCCAATAATGAAAACAGCTCCAATTTCTTTGATCCTACGCTATCATCTAAATGTGTGCCTTTATAAAGGCACATTTCTGGCACTTTTTATATGCCAGTATTTCATATTTTTATTTTGTTATTATGGAGTGTCAAGGTGCCACAGCAGTTAACACAGTTGCCTCACACCTCCGGAGACCCGGGTTTGCATGTCCTCCCCGTGATGTCATGGGGTTTCCTCTGGGTGCTCCGTGTTCCCCCCACAGTCCAAAAACATGCTAATGTGAATCAGAGTTGCCAAGTTGTCTGTCTGCGAATGACGTGTGTGCCCTGAAATGGAATGGCGCCCCCTGCTGAGTTGTTCTCTGCTCTGTGCCTGTAGCTTCCAGGATCGGCTCCAAACCCCCACAATTCTGCACAGAACAAGTGGGTATAGAAGATGGATGGATGGATGGATTCTTATTACTGAATGTTATTTATGTTACTTCTACAATGTTATATGTGGGACTGACACACAATGTCCCCCCCCCCCCCCCGATGGTTCAAGTGTCTATTGTAAAAAAAAAAATGATACTTAGAGGCACAATGGCAACATTACAATTGTTTTACTAGTTTGGAGCTGTCAGTTTTTTTACCCTTTAAAACACAAAAGCTGTAGCTGTAGTGCAGTACAGAAGCATCACATGCACTGGTGCAATTAATCACGCCAGTCACTGAACTGGTAGCAGGTACCACAGGGGGTATCAGTCCTACACTTAATATTAGTTGAGTTTTTGTCATGAATGAATTTGTCTTAAAATACAAGGATCCAAGAAAATAGGGCAGCAACCTGATAGGCGGATAACCAGTGTAAAATAACTCCCAAAAATAACCAGAGTAAGTTGAACGCCATTCTGACATCATATTTCATCATTTATAGACATTCAGTGGTGCAGTCCTTATGAATTTGGACATGGTAAGACATACGGTGACAGCTGTTAAGGACAAACAAGGCAAACAGATACTTATGTATGTCGTCCAGATGCATTAAAATTTAAATGTGTGTTTTAAAAAGGTCAATGCGAACCTCAGTGCTTATAGTATCTTGAGATCCTTGCAGATGATCATCGTTTCCAGGTTGGGTAGCCTCATCTGTATGATCTGTGAAGTCTGCAGACACATGGTAAACTAAGGAAGCTCCAAGCAGGACTAACATCTCTTTGATCAGAGATCTCCTCATTGTCCATCTGGGTGCCATGA